ACGGGCGGGTGGAGGAGCTCGCGGGGAGGGCCACGGACCTCGGAGGAGGAAAAGGCCTCCCCAATACCGCTACCCTTCCCCCGTTTTCCCCCTGTCTCGCCCTCCTGGGAGGCCTGCCCCGCGCGCCCCCCCTGGACCTCCGACGCCACGATTGGACATTCGGGGCGTTGACTTGAGGAACCCTGAGGAAGGAACGAGGCCCCTTGTTCCATAACTTAGGCTTCGATTTCCCATCGAAAACCTGAGGAAAACCAGAGACAAGCTGTGAAACAAGTGGGGCACACGGAGCCCCTCCACAACGAACAGGGTTCCTTCTTCAGCGCCCCGACTGTAGGCGAAAGGACGAGCGAACGAAAACCCTACACGCGCCAGAGCGCGGCCCTACGAAGAGCGGGTGGGAGGGGCCGTGGCCCTGGAGGCTCAGAGGTCGACGCCGTCTCTGCAGAATCGATCGATCTCGGCATTCACGGAGTCCTTCCACAGGTTGTAGGCGAAGAGGAGGGGGACATGCGGGTTCCATCTGCGTTGTTTCCATGTTCCCCGACCCCCCCACACACACACTGGAAATGGAGGGCAAATTGGGGCCTTCGGGTTGGGTTGGGGTGGTTTGGTGGGTGGTGACCCCCGCCACCTACAGCCGTGAGAGGCGCGGAGACCTCCGAACCAGACCTCCGACGCGTTCGGAGAAAAATCGAGGGCGGGCTCGGCCTGTGCCTCGGGGCCGTCACAAAAAACAACCCAGGATGAAAGACTTGTTCCGTCGGCGGCGAGGCAGAATGGCTGCACCAGCGATGAAGCTAGACGGGGGCACCGAAAAGCGAATTGGCCAGCATGCAGGAGGGGGAAGAGGAACCCAGGATGAAAAACAGGTCTCTGGGAGGTGGTTCAGAGCTCCGGTATCCCGTATTGAAACAAGCGAGTCCTTGGAGATCTGGGGACGATGTGTTCTTTTCGGTCGCTGTTTTTTCCTTCCTTTCGACCTCCGGAGGCTGCCTCGGGCCCGGGGACCATCGCAAACGAAGCTCTGCGTCGGGAGCTTTGGGTCGGGAGGTTTCTGACTGCTTGCGGCCTCTGGCGGCTCTCGCCCTGTCCCGGGACAGTCAAAGCACAACTCGGCACGAAGACAGATCTCTGGGAAGGGGCCGACGTCACGCTCATTGTGGAGCCACGCAACGCCGTACTGGGTGGCGCGGGACGCATGTGGCCACAGCCACCGGGGCCTTCGGTGAAGCTCCCTATGGAGCCACGAAACGCCATACTGGGTGGCGCGGGACACGTGTGGGCACAGCCACTGAGGCCTTCGGTGGAGTTCCCTGAGGGACCACGAAAGGCCGTACTGGGTGGTGTAGGACGCATTCCTGGGCCCTGGATCGGCTCACACCAATTTTTTGGTTGGAGGAAGAGGGGAGAGGGTGAGAGAGAAAGAGAGAGCGCGAACATCAGATGAGCATCACACCACCATTCGCGTCGCCACCCCTGTCAGGGGGCCCGCCGTCCTCGGGCAAGCAGCGGCTACAGGCGGATCAGTGGAGTTGGACTGCAGCTTTCCGCGCCCATCCCACCAGAACCTCCACTCGATGGCACTTAAAAGAGATGAGCACTGGACACTGGCACTTGAAAGAGAAGGGGAGGAGGACGGAGGAGAAGGGAGGGGGAGGGAGGAGAGGAGGACAGGCATTGCAGACGCAGACTGCCAGACAGTCCAGCGGCGCCGCACGTGCAAACCTGCCGTAGGCGAGCACCTGCTGCGAACTGGGCCTGAGAAGAGAAACATTGCGCACCGTGCGGCACTGCGTGACCACACGGATAGCCAACCATAAAGACCACGAACGGACTCGCGCAATGCAGAATGTAAGTCTGCAGACCACGGCCCCCTACGAAACGGAAAGAAGCATCCGCGACGCAACATGCTGACGAGGCATCGGCGAAACAATGATACCTATACGACCACCCTTCGGGAGATAAGGAGGTTGTGTGTGGGGGAGAGAGAGAGAGAGGGGGGAACCAAAATCGATCTCTCTATCGATCTCACTCAACGGAACACCACGGGGACACCACGGGACACTTGTCGATCTCACCATCGATCTCACTATCGATCTCACTCAACGGGACATCACGAGACACCACGGGCCACAAGGGAGACACCGGCGGGACACCAGCGGGACACCAGCGGGACACTGGCGGGACACCGCGCGCCACTGGTTGCCGGGCGGAGAACCTTTTGGTCTGGCCGCGGCCCAGCCACGACGGGACACCGGCGGGACACCAGCGGGACACCAGCGGGACACCGGCAGGACACCGCGCGCCACCGGTTGCCAGGCGGAGAACCTTTTGGTCCAGCCGCGGCCCAGCCACAGGAGAATTTCCTCTCCCCCGCCCACGCAGCTTCGCCTCGCCCGCACGCACGGCACGAACACGAAACCGAAATCGATTTCCCGGTAGGGGGGGCTCTCCGTTCCATGTTCCTCTTCGATCTCACCCCCCAACCTCCGACTTAGCCAAAACTGTAAACCCACAGCGGCGGCAGCTATATGACCGATTGCGGAAAAATCCGGCCGACGGGCAACAACCTGTGACAAGCGACGGAAGCGATGTACAACACCAGGGGGAGACAAGCGGAGGGGTGGCGGCTCCTCCGCGCCGAACCTCAATGCCCGATTCCAGGCCGCATTGCAGGCATGTGCAGCTTGACCGGGAATCCAAACGCGGAGGAGCAACACACAGCAGACGATGTTCACCAATCGCGCTCCGCCCTGTTGGCGGGAAGACGGTGTTCACAAATCGTGCCCCCCACCTGTCGGCGGGATAACGGAGAATCGAGCAGTCATCAGTCCAACCGGCAACCACGGCCACCTCCCAACAGCGAAAAAAACCGCGAGTTCCGCACCCGCGCCTGAAACCACAGAAACCCCCAGGTCAGGCAGCAAGCAGCAACGGGGGACGAAAACCAAGAGTGAGCAGGGGCTGTGGCCAAGCGAGGGGCGCGTCCGCATGCATCCGCGAGCGGACGCACGTGGCCGCATCCTTCACACTGACCGCAGCCAGGCACTGCCCGCAGCCAGGGGCCGCCCCCGTGGGGGGTGTGAGAGGCTGGCTGGCGCCCCGAGGAGCGGGAAAGGCGAGAGGAGAAAAGAAGACGAAACGACGACGACGACGACGACGAAGACGAAGACGACGACGACGACGAAGACGACGACGACGACAGGAGGGACCCGTGACACGGGGTGGCCTCCAAAGAAGCGGCTGGGGGAAACTACTGGCAGCAAAAAGTTCCGCGACGCCCCAGACCCAAGCAGATTGCCGCCCAAAGCCAGGTTACACAGTTTCGATTCCGGAGGACGCGCACCTGTACGCAGCCCGCCGCGGAACACGACGCCGAAGGTGCGCGCACAGGAGAGGAGAGAGGCGAGACGGGAGAGAGAGGAAAGGGAGCAGCAAGCAGGCAGCAAATCTAGCCTTCGCGGTGCCGGCGCCGCGAGCGAGCCAGAAGATTCCCGAGTTGGCCGTCCGTGCAGGCCACTGAGACGGCAGCCTTGAAAACGTGCCCCGCCTCGGACCGTTCCGCGGCCCCGTGGCGAAACGCAATATGGGATTCGTACAAGGCGTAGACATTGACACCGCAGAAAACTTGCGCCTCCTCGCTGGTTAAATTATTTGCCGGATAGTCTAATGATGTGGAACCCTGCAGCCCCAGAAAACAAGAGAGAGCAGCGCCAGCAGGAGGCCTCGCTATAGCGCCAGCAGGAGGCCTCGCTATAGCGCAATAGGCCCCGCTCCACCTGTGATACCACCCGCATGCCGCGTAGTGATCGATGCTGTCCGCACCTGCGTGGCAGCCAAAAACGCACCGCGCACCCCCTCGGAAGCGGCGGAACTCCGCCAGTCCCCTTGCGGGGCCACCAAGTTGCGAGGGTGAGGATTGCAGCTCCCTGTTCCAGTTGCAGTTTCCAATTTCCACTGTTACAGTCCTGCTTTCTGCTTCCTTACTGTTACTTGTTGCTGAACGTGCGAGGGGGGGGAACCCCAAACCAGCTTTTCTCCCACGCCCAGATCGCGTTGTCTGAATTCCTGGGGGGGCGTGGGACACGTAAAACTACTTGATAATCGCGTCCCCGAGGCCATAAACCTAAAAAAATCACCAGATTCGCGTCCCCGAAGCCATAAACTTTTTGAATTCGCAATATTCGCGTCCCCGAAGCCATCATCCGCTGTAAATTACGCGACATTCGCATCCCCGAAAACATGAACCTTTGAAAATTACACCGTATTCGCGCCCCCGACACATAAAGCCATGTAAATAAAATAAGAATCGCGCCCCCGAAACCATAGACTTTCGAAAATTACACGATAGTCGCGTCCCCAGGGCCATAAACATCCATAAACCATTGTAAATTACACCATGTTTGCGTCCCCGAGGCCACACACCTTCACAAATTACACCGTATTCGCGTCCCCGAGGCCATAAACCCGTGTAAATTATACAATAGTTGCGCCCCCGAGGCCACAAACCGCCATACATTACACAACATTCACGTCCCCGAAGCCATAAACCATTGCAAATTACCGGATATTCGCGCCGCCGAAGCCATAAACCCTTGTAAATTAATATTGGCCCTCGCGTGCAGTCCCGACATTGCTTCACGTCAGCGTCCAGACATCCCAACACAGCTCTGGCAAGTCCCATTCTAAGAGAGGGGGGCCGGCGGCATGGGGGCGAAGCCCTTACGGATAACCCAACCGTTCAAAGCCGCGCGGAAAGCGGAGGCTAGCACGCACGGGGAAGCAGCCGCACGGCCCAGGACCTCCAAATGCTTGAAAAAGCGGCGCACACGCCCACCCAGAAAGGGATCCACTCGCCAATTCTCTAAGCGGCGGCGCACAGAAAAAACGCCACGTCGCCTTGCGGCGAGCCAGCGTAGCTGGGGACGCCAAACACGAGCAGGGCCACTTCAGCCGATGCTCCAAGCGGTTCCCGCGATTCGCCGCCGCCTCCAGCACGA